TTTGTTTTTGTTACAGAAAGGAAAAAAGCAACTAATGTTCCCGTTCCCCGTCTCTGTCTATCTCTCCCTACTCTGAGATGCAGAAATGGGGCGGGGCTCAAGCATGCCCAGCAACCACTCTGCCACTGAGCTACAGCCCTGGCAAAGGCTTGGGCTTTTCTAGTTGAAGATCCAGCTCTGTGAAGAACCGCTTGCAAGGGACACCTCCTGTGGGTCACACTGGTCCAATAAAGATGGGGCAGCCCCTTCTGAAACCCCCCAGGGTCTGGGCTGCCCAGGGAGTCCGTTGCCATCTCAGCTGCACCAGGAGAAAGATTAGGAGGGAAGCAGTCAGGAAGGAACTTACTTCAGTATCAAAATATTTATCCATTACAAAATTCACCAAAGGCTTATCTGGGATGCTGGTGTGTGGGTGGAGCAGGAATGTAGAACGGATCACAGAGGAGGCTGATAGGGTTACATGACTTTTTGAGATATCAGAAGATACATTATTGTGAGAGACCACACAGGTCAGAGCTGTGGGTAGAATCCAGGCCATAGAGAATCAGCATATGGGGGCTACAAACACCTCACTTAGTGGTGTACTTACTTCTGGTTCTGAGGCTCTATGCATTCTAGACAAACACTACTGTTGAGCTACATCCTTAGCCCTCTTACTTATTTATTATTTTACTTACCTTTCAGAAAACAGCTTTTTAGGGCAGTGATTGGGTCACACAACCACGGAGGCCATGGGAAAATGTTGTTTCCTTATTTAGTCCCTCAGCAAACATTTATGGTCGCCCACCACATGCTGGTTACTGTTTAAGCAATGTGTACTTACTTCTGGTAACTGGGGTGACCATGGTGAATGCTATACTATGACTCCTCTCAGGAGGTTTGATTGTGGGAGCTCAGAGGAGCTGTGTGATAGACAGCTGTCTGTGGCTGTGAGAAAATACCCGAGACACACTTACAAGGGGAAATGGTTTGTTAGGACTCATAGTTTCGGTCTGACCTGCTTGGCCTTGCTTCTTTGTGTCTGTGGCTGTACACTACTACATCATGGTGGGAGCATGTGGCAAACAAAAAACCAACACACACACACACACACACACACACATACACACACCAACATGCATGCATATACTAATCCCAATAGAGATGCCTCAATTGACAAAGGGCTTACCTTGCAAGGCATGGGCACTTGAATTAGATCCTTAATATCCATGTAAAATTGTGCATTGAGGGAGGTGGTTCAGTGTTGCCAGGCAAGTATTCCCCCACACACACAGAGACTCCCCCCACACACACGGGAGTGCATCTCTGTGACCTAGCATTACTATAGTGAGATAGGAAGCAGACAGGAGGAGGCCAGAGGCTCACAGGTCAGCTGGTCTGGCATACACAGACACCATCAAACAAGAGACCTTGTCTTAAACAAGGTGGAAGGCTGGGAGGGGCATCTGAGGTTGTCCCCGACTTCCACAGTGCCGTGGCACCTGCAGCAGCATTCACATGTACGCTCTCATGCTCATAAAGATTTAGTAAACAATGCTGGAGCACAGGCTTGGGTCCAACAGTCAGGTGCCCCTCTGCTGTGTGCTAGCCCTAAGGAAACATCAGGCCATTTAGCTGCTGTGTGGAGGGTTGGGAAGCACTGTGTGAGCACTGTGTGAGCCTGTCTCCAGGTTCCATTTAGCTACAACAGTGTACTCTGGAATGGGCTTCAGATGTGTTCAGTAACCACAATCCAGCCCACCATGAGAGTCCCAGGGTTTGGTTTCTTGTGTCTCTCAGGACCATAATGATGCCCTTGGATTCAGTTGTCTTTGAAGATCTGTGTTGAAGCCGGCCATGACAGTGCAAGCGTGTATTCACAGCTCTTGAGAGGGGGAGGCAGGAGGATCCAGTGTTTAAGCTCATCCTTAGCTACATAGTCAGTTTGGGGCCATGTCTCAATAAGCAAACAAACAAACTGAAACAAAACAAAACACTCACAAAAAAGCCCCAAATAAACAAACTAATTAAAAAAAAAAAACAAAAACGAAGTACAGGTTGATCTCCAGCCTATTTGGTGCTGAGGCCAAACTATCTGTGAGGCCCTGTGACCTCCCAGCTCTTCCACACAGCCATGCTGCCGCTGTCGGCTGCGGTTGGCACCCCTAGCTGGAGTTCCACTTTCTGCCTAGAGCAGCATCTCTCAGCTACCCCAGCGCTGACTTTCTTACATTGCCAGCAACATGCACACATCCCCCAAAGTGCTGTGGGGCTCCAGGGATAATCCTGACTGGAAGCCCCCAGACAGGTGCCATTTCTTCCCCCAAATTGTCAGAAAAATCTGCTTGAAGGTGTGGTATGCCTGATTGGTTCCTGATGACCTTGAATGCTTGTGTATACAGGAACAATGGGATGATAAGAGGCTGGAACAAGCTGCCAGGATCTTGTTTCTCACACACTGGTGGGTATGCCCAAGGGAGGCTCCATGGCTCCCACTTCCTGGCTTAGAAAGGAGGATCTCTGTGAGTTCGAGGCCAGCCTGGGCTACCAAGTGAGTTCCAGGAAAAGGCGCAAAGCTACACAGAGAAACCCTGTCTCGAAAAACCAAAAAAAAAAAAAAAAAAAAAAAAGTCCTCCAAAGATAGCTAGCCGTCAAAGTGGCCTGGGGCCCATCAGCCTCTTTTCATCACTTGACAAGGTCGCTGGGCTCTGGAGAGACCAACCTTCCTCTTCCCCTGAAACACCAAGGCACTTTGATGTCAGCTCTAGAGAAAGCCTGGGAACCACACGCTCACACTGTCACCCCTGCGGGGAATAGTGAAAGTGGGGGTGGGGGGGGTGGGAGGGGGTGGGACAGAGCATCCTTCCTGGAAAATGCACTAACCTTGTTTCTAGCACACTGGGAGGCTGCAAATATGAGAACCAGGCCTGCTACCTCTGCAGCCCCCTTGGAAGGTGGTCAGGTGGATGTTGATAATGACAGGACCACCAGCTGGGGCTGCTTTGGAGCTGCAGAGGCCACCGCTTCAGTTGGGAATGAGGATATTTTTAGGGCTGAATCTGGGTCTTCCTTCTCTCCCTCCCTCTGATGCTAAGTAGCCATCTGTATCTCCCAGGCAACGTCCTCAAGCTGCATCCTAGAAAAGCAGGATGGGGAAGTGATTGCTGTTAAATACAGAGTGTGGGGATGCTGCATCATTCATTCATTCATTCATTCATTCATTATCTGTTAAGAAAAAAGCTAGATACTGCTTTTGCCTAATGATTTCTTTGAATCAATTATATATACTCCCAATCCAGCAGGCCTCTCTATGGTGACTGCTCTGTATTCTGAGTTTTGACGCCCCTATCCCCAGTCTTCTCATTCCTCATCTCACCCCCAGGGAGCTGTTTAGCAATGGAAATCTGAAAGATAATAAGAGTCTCTGGCCCAAGAAACCACAAGACTTATCCAATTCCTCTACACCAGTAGTTCTTAACCTTCCTAAGGCTGCAACCCTATAATGCAGTTCCTCATGTTGTAGTGGACCCCCAACCATAAAATTATTTTCACTGCTACTTCTATAACTGTGATTTTGCTACTGAGCAGTGTCTTAGTTCCTAAGACCATCAGAAATATGTATTTTCTGGTGGCCATGACCCACAGGTTGGGAAACACTGCTCTACGGGCAGCCCCATCAACGCCCAGCTTGCCATGTTTCTGAGCTAAAACTCAGTCCACCACAGCTACCAAGCAAGAGTCTTTCTCAGCAGAGCCCTAAGAAATGAAAGGCTTGTCTACAGAAGAGAGGATGTATGGGTAAATTCTTATTTTTGAGCAGCCAGGACTTCTGTGCTAGCCCAGCAATATGGGACATGCATGCAATCCTGGCATTTGGGAGGCTGAGAGACAAGACAGCTGTGAGTTTGAGATCAGCCTGTCCCTCTCAGAGTCAGCAATGAGTGAGTTGTGCAGACTGAGTGGGGTCCATCCTGGGGATAAAACTCACAAAAGTAGATTGAACTCTGAAGATGCTTAAGAGACAAACCTTCAGAAACCTCAAGGGCTGGAAGGAGGAACACACAGCAAAGACTATAGAAAAACGGGGCCCAGGTTTGGGGGTGAGGGGATTGCTGCCTGCACTTGCCTGGCCAAGGGGCATGCCTCTCCAGAGGGCATTCCAGCAGCCTGGAGTCATGGTACCGTTTGCTTTCACCTCCTAAGCCTTGGGTCAGTTCAGTTCTAAGAACATTTATGGACGCTGTATTGGGCCAAGGGCCCCAGGGGAGAGTCAGCCCTGGTACTTGCCATTTGACTCCTATTTTCCTGGTCTCTGCTATCACAGCGACTGCACGAATTTCACAAGACTCCCAGCCCCCAACCACTCATTCATAATTTTCTCTGAAATGATGAGGGGCATGGCCACTCAGGAAAGCGGGCAGGGCAGAGGATTGCCATTCTACATCCAAGAAAGGGAAGATGCAGTGGCCCCAGATAACGCGGATGGTCTGTGTCACCACCCCCTTTCCCACAGCTTTAGCCAAAGCAAGGCCAGTTCAGGGCAGGACCTAAGCAAGGAAGACTGCACTCGGCAAAGCAAGGAATGAGGGCCCACGAGTGCCAGGCAGTTCTAGAAGCCCTTCGCTGCTCCCTCCAGTCCAAAAGAGGACAGTGAGGTTGGCTTTGCAGCTGCCTAGGCCAAGTATCGTGAGGCCCAGCCCTCGCCTCTCCCTCGACATCAGAACACCAAGGCCAGATGTTCACCTCTCAACAGCCCAGGGTTCGGTCTCCGACCTGTGGCCAGGGTGGGAACGGCCAGCCGCTCCCGGGACTGGGGCAGGGCTTCAGCCCACGTGCGCTGCAGCGGTAGTAGTCGTCCTCAGCCTAGGATTGACTGGGAGGGCGCTGGGGTGGGTTCCGCGCTGCATGATCATTGGCCGTGCGTCTCAGGCCTAGGGCGGAGCCTCGCCCTCAGAGGCCCTGTCATTGGCCAAGCCCCCGAAGGGGGCGTGCCCCAACCGGGTCCTCCGCAGCTCGCAGAACCGCAGGCACCCGGCCGGCTCAGCCTGCGCCGGGCCGCCTCGCTCGCTCGGGGCTCGGCAGGCGGCCCGCGGGGTCCCGGATCGCTGCGCCCGCAGCCGGAGACCAAGGCAGGCGCTGACTCGAGACCCGGAGGCCCGCCAGACCTTCGGTAAGACCGAGCGGGAGTGGGCTCCGTGGCGCGCGGGAGCGGGTGGGGACTGTGCCAGTCCTAGCTGGACTCTGCGCCCTATCGGGCGCTCCGGAGGGTCAGGTGCGGCAGCTGCGTCCGCGATCTTAGACCCACCTGCCAGGCGCGCCGTGGGCTCTCCACCAATCAAAACTGCCATTCTAACCTCAGAAAACACAACACACCAGCGCAGAGTGGGCGCCCTTTGGCAGCAGGGTCGCCTGTCATCGTTCAGGGGACCGTCCCCAAACTTTGCTCCATACGATTTAGGCTCCCGTGCCTTTCCCATCCTCTCACTGAGCGCCTTGCTTATTTTTATTTTATTGTCTTTTTCTGCCTCCCTTCTTCTCCTCCCGCCTTGATAACAGGAAGTTAAGTTGGGCCAAATGTCAGTGGCCTGGCCGGCAGTGGGCTGGGACCCGGGCTGGTTACTTGGCCAGTGGCAGCGCTTCCAGGGACCGCGCTACTGTCTCCTCTATATCCTGGGACCCCTGGCAGCCTGTGCTCGTCCCCGGACTAGGAACACCCCATTCTTGCGTCCCGCCCTAACGCTGGCTGACCAGCCCTGGGCTGGGGTCCCCCTTGCAGCCTCTGCCCCGCAGCAGCTGTCTGGAGAGGGCGGGGTTAACTTATCCCAGGCCAGCCTCAGTCTCAACCGCACCCTCACCGGCACAGCTGGGAAGGGCCTTTACCGGACCGGGAAGAGGCGTGCTGAAACCAGAGTACTCTCGTGTCTCCTTCCACATTGTTTATTCTGGGCCTGGGTTTCTAAAGTGGAAAGAGCTCTCATTTGCAAGGCCACTAGCTGCCCACTATGTCTTAGGTGGTTTAGGGGGAGGATAAAGTCAGTAGCCAGTTCCTTTGGGGACAGACCCGGAGGGAAAAAAAGCCAGAGGCTAATTGGCCTTCCGCATTCGCGTCCCCCGAGTTCCCTGGCACCTGTGTCCTCTGTGTGTCAGTCACCTCCGCGGGGGCAGTGGACCTAACAGGTGGGCCACCAGGACAGTCCATGCCCCTTGTTCATGCCCCAGAGATTTCAAAGGCAATCAGTGTTGCCTTCTTCAGACGCAGTGAAGTGGGCACAGGTTGGGTCCTGGTGGTTACTTTCCAAAAAGCCTGAGTTGCGTCCTCTCCTGGCTCTGTGCTTGCTTCCTACCAGTTTGCCTGGTGGCTGTGGGAATATGCTCTGTGTGCCTGGAGCCCCCTGGCCTTTGAGAGATTCTGGGGATTGCAGGAGTAGTTTGCAAATCACTTGACCAGACAGCCAGCGGACGCACTGCAAACTGCCCCTCACTGTGTCCTACAATGGAGGGGCTCTGGCAGTGTTAGCTGTGATAGGGAAGGATTGACTGCTTTAGAGGAAAGACATCTCTGTGGGGCTGGCGTTTCCAGTAGTCTAAAATTGTATTCATTGAAATAACTTGGACTCTTAGAAGGAACTCAGGCTTGTTCTTTCTGCAGTGGGTGTGGGGCAGGTTTTGGAATATGCTTTTAAACCCAGTTTGAACAGTGTCCTTCCTAGGAGCTGCAGAGAACAGCCCCAATTCTTCCCTCCTGTGATGGGGGGTGGTGTCTCTCTGTTCTCTCCACCATGTCTACATCTCTACCTGGGTTTACCTTCCAGTCTAGGCCTGACTCTGCTCACTTTCTGCTGCTGAATGGTAGAGGATCTGCCTTCCTGTTGGAGGACTTGGCTGGCTTGGAAGGGGCTGAACATGGCTAACCCAAGAAGTCTGCAGAGTGCTAACAGTCCCTGTCCTTTGAAAAGCCTGGAAGAGGATGCTGCATTCTGGGATTGCTCATCTGGGATTGCTCATTCTTTACCTCAGGAGCATCTCATGATGCTCTGTAGTAGTTGGGGCTATCTATGCCCATTTTACAGATTAGAAAACTGAGATGCAGAGAGATTGCTACTGGCCCCATCAGACTGCTAGAGTCTCACAATGATTCTAGCTTCCAGCTGTTTGGGAAGGGGATTAAACACCACAGGAAGCAGGGAAATCTTGGACACCCTCTGGACTTGAGGGGCTTGGTACAGATAGCCCCTGTTGGTACTGACCAGTTTCCTAATGACAGGTGAGTGGGTCTTCCCACCCCACTATGAAATGGCACATAAACCCCAGCTGGTTATCACAGTCCTCCTGGCTCTTTGCTGTGTGTTCCTCTTACACTAGTCTCACTGGGGCATCTACCACCATACAGAGCAGTCTCCTGTCAAAAAATACTACAAGGCAAGCCACAGCAGAGAATCCAGGGTTCAAGGCCAGTCTAGGCTATATAGTGAATTTGAGGATAGTTTTAGCTACACAGCAAGACTTTGTCTCAACAACAACGAAGAGCAGTGGGTAGGTATCATAGGCCCATAATCCCAGCCCTGAGGAGGCAGAAGCAGGAGGATTGCTGTAAGTTTGACACCAACCTAGTAAATATAAGTTCTAAGTCAGTCATGGCTGTATCAAAAACAAACAAACAAACAAACAAACAAACCAAAACCAACCAACCAATCAAACACATATATATGTATGTATGTATACATACACACACACACACACACACACACACACACACACTTATATAATTTTTTCCATAAAAATAGGATGGTGTAATGAGCCCTGCCTATACCTCCCCCAGCTCCCCAGCCATTAAAGTGATGCTGCATTGTGCTAACTCCATGCGTTTCTTTTACTTTTCTCTCGGTTCTGTTTTAAACTTCCCTTTACTTATTTGTTTGTTTATATATATATATCTACTATATGTGTGTACATGTATGGGCGTGGGTACCATAGTTCTTGTGCAGAGGTCAGAGGACAGTTTGGGGGAGTCGGTCCTCTCCTTCAACTGTGTGCGTCCCTGAGACTGAACTCAAGTTGCCAGACTTGGCAGCAAGCACCTTGACCTGCTGAGCCATCTTGCCACCCCCTCCCTGGATTTTTTCCTTCTGGAATATTTTGAAGCTGATTTCTGATGTCGTTGTTTATGTCACTTTTCTTCTATACAATCTTTTGATTGTACAGAATCTTTTGAACCACACATCGCTTCAAAAGAGTATCCCCTTGCAAATCGTCATTGTTGCACAGGACAGAGACAACAGTAATCTTACGGCGTCACCTGTCCACATCCAGATAGGCGTACAGGCCTGCTTGTCAGCAATGACCTCTCCAGCTGTCTGCTAGAGTGAGGCTCTGTGCATGCGCTGTATTTGGTCACCGGTGCCTCGCTGCCTGCTGTGAACAGGAGAGGGTCCCCTCCTCTCCATGAGCAATTAACCTCCATCTCAAGAGCTCATCCCCCCAGGGATCACAGCCTCTGGAGACTGTCCCTCTCTGGATCCTCAGGAACAAAGCCTACACACAGGGGACACACAGCAGAGGCTGCTCAGTGGCGTAGCAGCCACTCGAGGGGCGTGCTGTGAATGAGGGGACTGTCAGGGGCTCCCGTGACTGTGGTGCGTGTTTGGAATGATGACTTGCTCACGCTCGTGTGGCAGTCACAGCAGTGAGCGTCAGCCCATAAGCATCCTGAAATAATAGGAGAACTATTTACAACACTCACCCTCGCCCCTTTGGTCTGTGGTGTGGAGCCCAGATGGCCACGTGTGTGCCCTCAGCAGCAGCTGGCCCTGCCCATCACACATGGCTGACAGCAGCTGAGTTCATTCTGTTAAAGTTTTGAGTTCAGTTCCATCGAGGCCGAGTTGTGACTCTGACACAGGACTAGGTAGAGAGCAGGGTGTGTCTCCTCTCCCTCCCTCCTCTGAGCAGACCCTCTCCTCCCAGTCAAGGCCCTTCCCACCACAGCCCTCCCCCTGAGGGAAGACTTAGAGTTTTGCTTTTGTTATCTTAGTTTCTTTTTTTTTTTTTCTTTTAGCTTTTTTGAGAAAGGGTCTTATGTTGCCCAGGCTGGACTTGAACTCAATATGTAGTTGATAATGGCCTCGAACTCCTGATCTCTACTGCCTCTTCTTCCCAAGTGCTGGGATTATGCACGTATACCACTAACTACAGTTCATCTTTTTAATTTTTTTTTCAGCAAATGTAACAACATTTTAATGCTTCTGTTATGTCAGCATTTGAGTTGATATTTTCCTTTCTTATTTACTTTTTAGGGTCTTTGGTTGGTTGGTTTTTATACTGGAGACCAAAGTCTGAGCCTTCTCATGCATGTTAGTCAAGCATTTGACCACTGAGCCACGCCCTCTGCCCTCTTTAAAGGTTTTAATCTTGAGAGGTGGTCTTACTAAGTTGCCCAGGCAGGCTTTGAAGCCTAGGAAGGCTTTGAACTTAAGCTCCCCGTGGCTCAGCCTCCCAGAGACCTGGGATTGCAGGCATGGACCACTAGGCATGACGTCACCCTTTACTTTCTTTTTCTCCCTCAAATTTATATAGTAAAAAATGTTTTCATGACAGGAGAGCCATATTGTAATCTTTCTAAAACCAGGCCCTCAACTGCTTGGGTGCCTGTAGACAAGCTTGGACTCATCTCGTGCATTGCCTACAGCTGTGTGTATTGACAGTACCTCAGTTACTGGGATTTTGAAATTTGCTCAGATCATAAATATTGTTTGTATATTAGGTTCATCTTGTTATTCTGGAGGCTGAGCCATCAGAGATGGCACAAGAGCAGGCAGGCCCCAGCTCCAGCCTCCACTGCCCTCTTGGGAAAATCCTGAAGGACAAATACCTGTGCACCTCACTCTAGGGTCCCCCGACCCCCACTATGCTAGCTTCTCCTTTCTTCTGGGCCCCTGCCCCAGGTGTAGAACACATGACTGGAACCTGATGAGAAGGTGCACCTTCTAAAGCATTGATCCTCCTGATGCCAGTGGCTGATATTAAAGCTGGCGAGAGAGATGGTGCCAGAGCCCCTCTGGTCATAAACTGCCACTGTAGGGTTGCATCTGCTGTGAGTCTGATTTGGGGATGCTCTCTTCTCTGTCAGATCTTGAAGAATCATCATCATCCCTGTGCCCCAAGTACACAGCACACTGCCTTTTGTGGTACCGGGTGCCAGATGTGGTCGGATTTCTTCCAGTCTCTTGCTCCGTCCCTGTGTGCCCATCTGAGCATTGCTGTAGTCATCATGGGGAGAGATTCCCAGGCTCAGTGAGCATGCAGGGCACTGTGTCCACATAGTTAATACTGCGTTTGCCGTGTTGGAGACTTTAGGGTTTTTTGTTTGTTTGTTTGTTTGTTTGTTTGTTTGTTTGTTTTTGCAGGTCTCATTGTGTAGCCCTGTCTGACCTAAAACTGTATAGACCAGGATGGACTCACTCATTGGCAACTGCCTGCCTCTGACAGGTGCTGAGATTAAAGGCCTTTGCTACCGGTCCAAACTTATTTTTATTTTAAAGACAAGGGCTCATGTAGTCCAGGCTGACCTCAAATTTATTGTGTATGTGAGAATGACCTTGAGTTTGTGGTTCCCCTGCCTCCACGTAGTCCCTGAGTGCTGGGGTATAGGTATGCACCATGGCCATTTTATATAGTGCTGGGGTTCACACTCAGGGAGTTTTTTGTGTAGGGCAAGCACATTCCCAACTGAGCTACAGCCTTCGGGCTTAGTGTGCTCTAGATGTGAATTAATGCTTCTCCATGGGCCTGTGTTCCTTCCTCCCCTGAATCTCCATCTCTGTGGCTTCCTGGATGTCTTGTGGCTCAAGCGTTCCTCCTCTAGCTTGCCTGCATCTCTTTCAGGTATAAAAATGTTACAGCAGGCCCTTTCCTAGGCCACAAGGTATGTCCAGAGCTCATGTCCTTTTGGCTACCTTCAGGAGCCCGGCAGCAAGGAGCTAGACAGTTGTTGCTGGGCCCTGTACTGTTAGAGCCACAGGTTAGTGGAACATTCTCAGGCCCAAGTTTCAGACACACCCAGCCCAGAAGCTCAGCGCATGCCAGAAACAGGGGTGAGTGTCTAGAACACGCTGTCCCGCCCGGCCTTGCCCCCTTCCTATCAGTGTGCTGAGCTGCAGAGACGCCTCTTTACTCGCAGACTGAATACTGGCCTTGGCCACTCAGCTCAGCACTGGCTGGATCTAAGCCTCAGGGTTCTGGGAGCCAGGAGCATGAGGAGCAGGGAAGGATGATGACGTACATCAGAAGAGTCACTCAGACCCTTTAGTCACTGAAGAGAGCTGCTTCCTGGAGTAGATAGACCCAAGTCTGTGGGGGATCTGGCTGCTGACTCCTGTGTTAGGTGCCTACTCATCCTAGGGCGCCATGTGCAGTATTCATGAAGTTGATAGCTCCATGTGTGGGGGCAGCTGGCTCTTTAACACGTGGATACAAAGGTGGTAATGGACAAGAGTTTCTTTCCGAAGGAAGTGGGTATCTGACAGGCAAGTGTAAGGGTAAACAGAGGGGAGGGAGGACACACATGTATGTACTCACTCTAAAACATGCACATGGATGCATGGTGCTCACTGGTACACATAGGGAGACACTGTATTCATCCGTTCACACACATGGATACACAGTACTCTCCCTACTCGTGTGCACGCGAAAGACACACACACACACACACACACACACACACACACACACTCATGGTACTTGCCCCAACACACCTGTATAGATGCATGGTTTTCACCTCCACACACAAGGATGTGTGGAATTCACCATCACAAACACATAGATGCATAGAACCACCCCACATGCACACAAGAATGGATGGTAAAACACTCCATACAAAAGGAGCTAGTGAAAACCCAATCCTCCATCCTTCCCTCAGCCTCCATCCTTCCCTCAGCCTCCATCCTTCCCTCCATCCATGTGCTCTTCTCACAATGGTGGTTGCTGTTCCAAACCTTCTGTAGACATGCTGTGGGCACATTCTTCAGCCCATTCCATGCTCTGTTTTTCCTTCTGTCTGCTGGGCAGTGACCAGAATGGGAAGAAACAGGACCCACAGGGCCCCAGAGACTCAACAATGAGTTAGCCCAAACTTAATGACTGCCTCCTCCGTGAGATTCACCACTTCTCCATCAGGATCCCTTTTTGTTAGATCTGGGGGACTCAGAGCGTCTAAGCACCGAAGATAAACATCAGGAGCAAGTTCTCCAGGCAGGTGATAGAGGCAAAAACAAGCAAGCAGACCAAAGAAGCATGCTATGACAGACATGGGTTCGAATCTTAGCCATGAGGCCTTGGAAAGTTTTGTGAACCTTATCATTTAACCTACAAAGAAGAGGTAGTCACATTTATCTTGAGAGACTGATGTGGAGATGAAATTAAAATATTTACAAAGTGCCCTGCTGCCGGGCGGTGGTGGCACACGCCTTTAATCCCAGCACTCAGGAGGCAGAGGCAGGAGGATCTTTGTGAGTTCGAGGCCAGCCTGGTCTACAGAGCGAGATCCAGGAAAGGCACAAAGCTACACAGAGAAACCCTGTCTTGAAAAACCAAAACAAAAAACAAAAAACAAAAAAAAAACAAAGTGCCCTGCGTAGGTGTGCATTCCAATACCTCCCTTTTTTCTACCTAAAAAGAGTGGTCAGTTTCCATAATGAATATCATGTATGGCCTCCTGCAGAAGTCAGCCAGTTCTCCATTTTCCCCCCAAGCTGAGCTTTTTCTGTCTGCCTGTCCACTGCCCCCCACTCCACTCCACCTCCATCCCACCCAGCCTGTCAGCACCCCATCCTTCTCTGCCCTTCCCCACAGCCTCCTCCTCACTTCCGTCCCTTCTTCCCTGGCGAGCAGTAGCTTCCTGGAGAGGGCTCCCTGTTTATGGTTGCTCCCTGGGGTGTTTATGCTGCCTCTGCTTCACAAGCTCCTAGCAGATGTCTGTTTATTGCTGAGACTTCATCTTCAGCCAGAGAGAGGAGAGGCCTTTTTTTTAAAGATCTCTAATTGTGGTGGCTGCACAATACGGCTTAGATTGCCTCCAAGTCTAATTTGTCATGCTCTCCAGCTCTACCCATTATGAAACCCTTCAGATGCTGGCAGAGAGACCTTATATGTCCTGATTTCAGAGCGGCATTTAAATTTAGCATCCAGTTGTAACCACTTAGAAAGGTAGGCCAGGGGAGTGTGGGCAACCAACAGTTTGTCTTCTATCCTGGCTCAGACAGATGGTGTGAATGAGAGGAGCATTTTTGTAGCCATAGCAACGGCAACCCTCCTTCCCGCCCCCTCTTTCCACCTGCAGGCTTGAGTAGGCATTCAGAGGCTGCCATGAGATTAGCTGGCAGCTTGGGAGTTTTATCTTCCCGTTTGGACTGGGGTGGGGATTGAGGTGCTCGGGATAGGGGCACTGGGGTGGCTTTAGGTGATTCTGACCTCTGTGCCAGAGGAGGAAGAGAGAGTATGAGTCACAGAGCCATGGGATGTCAAGTTGGAAGGGCCCTCTGATGTCATGGTCATAAAGTTCTCAACCCTGCCTTGAGTTTATGTGTGTGGGATAAGGGGCTCAGACAATGTGTTTTTATTTTTATTTTTTATTTTTTTTGAGGCAGGGTCTTACCATGTAGCACAGTTGGCCTTAGCTTGCAATCCTCCTGCCTAAGCCTCCTGCCTACTGGGATTTCAGGCATTTACCCAGCTCCAGCCTTCTGTAAGGAAGGACAGTGTAGTGTAGGGTGGACTAACCTTGGCCTCGAGATCTTTCCCTATCAGAATACATCCCCAGAGCCTTGGGGATTAAATTCCTACCTTTGTTTTCTTGGCCTCTGATACAAACCCAGATTTTTTTTTCCCCCAAGAAAGGGTTTTACCTATGTTGTCCTGGCTGTCCCGGAACTCTCTATATAGACCAGGATGATCTCAAAATTACAGAGATCCACCTGCCTGTGCCTCCCAGGTGCTGGGATTAAAGGCATGCGCCACTACACCCAGCTCACAAACCCAGATTTTGACTGGGAAGGGCAACTGTCTGTAGAGATTTGTTTGTCTCAAATTGGCTTTCTGCTGAACCTTGAGAAAATGCACCAACACGGGCCAGTTGGGCATCGTGGAAGAGGGCTGCAGAAAAGGCTATAAATAGGTGCTGGGGTGACTACCAACAGCTGTGGGCTCAGGCTCGTTAGTGCCCGGCAGTGTGCAGCTGTTGTGCTGGGGCCCAGATCCAATCGTTCTTCTATTGCCCAGAGTGAGGTATGTAGGACCAGCTTCTTGCTGCTGCCTGCACCCCAGGACTGGGTATGGAATGCACACAGTGGGTGCCAGCCAGAGGACTTCTTGGAGGAGGAAGGGGTAGGGCCAGCTTGTTGGTCACAAAGCGCCTTGGAAGATGAGTAGGGTGCCCTCAATAGAAATGAGCAGAGGCCAAATGACATGTGCAGGATGTGAGCCAACCCAAGAGGCAGGAGGAAGCCACCAGAAAGGACTCCGGCCCCTAATCCTCAGGCCAGGTAAGTTTAGGAGGCCTGCACCGCTCTCCCAACACTGAATGCTAACTAAATACTAAACTGTTGTCTACACTGAGAGGTACCCTAGGAAGTGGAGTGGAGCAGTTAAGGCAAGGCTCTAAGGCTTCCTCTGTGCCCTGGCTTTTGTCTTGTAACCTCCTTTGTGGTTACAGGGTCTGTGTACGCAACCCTGTCTTCCCACTTCTAAGTACAGTAACCCATTAGGCAACTCTCCAGCTAGGGTTGTAGAATACAGTCCATCCATCCTTTCCTGCAGGTTGTATTCTGTAGAGAAAAAAGCAACTGCCCCCTTACACCCTTTCTTCCCTTCTTCCAGGTCATTTTTAGGGGAGGAAATGCAGACATAGAGGTACTGACCCTAGAAACGGATCGGGAGGTTCCTGCTTGCCTGTGGTAAGTCAAAGCAGCAAGGCGGGGGTGGGGACTGGAGCCCAGGGATGCCCTCCTCCAAAGGAGCAGCCTGTGAGAGAATTGTTTCTGTAGGGGTCAGAAGCTTGCAGAGCCCAGCATCCCATCTGAAATGCTGCTGACTCTCTCCCTTCCCTCCGTGTCCTGGCCAGGAATGGGAGGGGAAGGCTGTGCTCAACATCCACCTGCTGCTGGTGTTAACCTGGTGGGCGGGTGGCATGGCAACCTGCTGTGTTTACAGTTTTGACATTTGAGCAGAGCTGCGGGCACCTGTCTCTCATGTTCGTCTTGGGGACACCCTGGGTTTATGTCATGGAATAAATTGCTCTTGCAAGCCGCAAGTGGGAAGAATTGAGTACTCAGGGGATCTGGGGCTGAGGTATGGTAGGGAATCCTCTCTGCTCTTCCTCCCTCCCTCCCTCCCTCCCTCCCTCCCTGTCTTCCTCCCTTCCTCCTCTCCTTCCTCTCTATTTCTCTCTCCTTCTCCCTCCCAACCTCCCTTTCTTTCCTTGCATCTGTTGCCCCTGTGGGAGCCCAGGTTGGCTCCTCCATGACCGACTGATCTCTCGGCACATTTGCTCTGCAGTTCAAGACCTCTGTCTATTGGAGGCGAGTTGTCACAGGCACGACTGGGTTTTGGGTCAGGTTTAGTGACATTATTTACCCCACAGGATGTATGTGAAGATTCAATAGGGCAGTGAGCTCAGCACAGCCACCAGTACCCGAGACACCAGTGAGGTTTTGTTTTTGTTTTTATTTTTTTTTATGGGTCAGAGTTCCTCTTTCCTTCAAGTCTCCCATTTGTATTGTATTGTTCCATAAGTGACGTTTGCCCTGAAGCAGTGGCTTTTTAAAGAGTGCCTCAGTTGGGACACCGTCACAGGCAATAAAGAGATAGGGGAGGCTTGCCTCCTTGGTGAGGCCAGCGCCCCACTGGACTCAGAACTGTAGGGTGAGGAGAGTCCTGATCCCACTGGGTACTTCATTAATTCCATTCATTGTCATTTAAATATTACTCTACTAGGCATTAGACAAATGTTTTTATATTATTCCCGAGTTTTGCTTGTTTAGTTTTTTGAGAGTACGGATCTCATCTGGTAGTCCAGGCTGGACTGGAACTCACACTCTCTGTAGTATAAACTCCTCAAACTCATTCGCCATGTAGGCTAGACTGACCCTGACCCTCCCACCTCAGCCTCCTGCATACTGAGGCATGCATCACCATACTTCATTTATTTCATATTCCTTTTGTGTGCATCTAAAAAGAGAATAAAATTGGTTACAGCATTTCTGGACCTTCTTCACACTCAGGGTTCAGCTCTTCAACATCTCATTTGGATCTGCCCTAGTTAGCATTGACTGTCAACTTGACACAGCCTAGAGTCACCTGGAAAAAACTCTCAGTTGAGGAATTGTCTTTATCAGGTTGGTCTGTGGGCATGTCTGTAAAAGATTATTTTGACTGCAAATTGAACAAGCATGCTGGTTAATTTTTTTAAAATTACATTTTATCTATCCATTTATACGTATGGATGGGGATGAGAGTGCCTACCACAGACCCCATGTTGAGGTCAGAGAACAACCTGCAAGAGTTGGTCCCCTCCCTCTACCATGTGGGACCCAGGAACCGGATTCCAGTTATCAGGCATGGTAACAGGCGCCTTTACCTTATGAGGGTGCCTGGTCACTGTTTTCCTATTCTGATCCAATTTGGACTTTGTCTTGTTTTTCTTGAGACAGGGTCCCAATATGTGGTTTAGGCTGTTTTGAACTCGCAGTCCTGAGTGCTGTGATTCAGGCATGCATCACCATCCTGAGTGCTAGGATGCAGTCATGCATCACTTTAAATGCTGACTTGTTAAATTCCAAGCTGCCTTGCTCTGAGGACCATTTCAGCTTTGCATGTAGTGACTGCAGCACCCAGGTCACCACCACACAGGGTTCTCATACAGCCAGAGAGCACTCTTTAGGAGACTTCAGACTTTAGCCAGCTTGCTTTGAGAGCACAGATTCCAGTTGGCCTCTTGGTTCCATCCCTTTCCCTCTCTGACCTAACAAGATTCCCACTGGCAACCAGATGAGATCTGACTGTTGCCACTCTCCATCTGCTTTGACATTATATGCTCCAACTTCCCACAGGGCTCCAGGACCACGTTCAGCTCTGGGTCTGATACAAAAAGTCACTAAGATACAAAAGTCACTAAGCCATTAAGTGTCTCCTCTCCAGATGTGGACAGCACTCTAGGCTCAAGCTATTTTGGCCTGGAGGACTTGGAACTCATTAAAACTTTTTAGACATCCTTTAAAAACAAAACAGTGCTGGGGATATGGATGAGTGGTAGAGTATTTCCCTAGCATGCTCAAGGCTCCAACAGTGAAAAACTAAAAACAATAACCAACAATAAGAAAAAAACATATAAAGCTAAACCAAGCTCCTATCTCATCTGAGTGCCCCATGTCACCCCAGGGTAAGTTCTTGTGTCTGCCTCTGTCTCTTGTCTCAGTCTGGAGGATGGAATCACACTTCTGAGTCTCAGTCTTCTCAGTCCTAGCCAAATCTAGGAGCCCTTTTCTCTCCCCAGCTGTTAGGAAGGTCTGTTATCCTCAGATCCCGCGTACCAACTTCCCCTTCTGTGGTTCACAAACTTCACAGGAAATGGTTGTTTTTCCTCCACATTTCCTGTGTCCTGGTCACTTAGCTGGCTCTGCCGTTGCTGTGGGAACTAGGGCATTAGGCTAGTCTTGTTACCATGGAAGCTGCCTCCCTCTTCTGGAAGATGAAGGTCTCAGAGAGGCCAGGCAGCCCTGGTCAGTAGCCACTGGGGTCCACCCGCCCCTCAGGACTAGCAGCTTTCTCTGGCCAGCTGCATTCGTGCTGGCAGTTGGCTTGAGGCTTCCACCCTGAGCAGCCTCTTGCCTCAGTCACTCAGTCCTGTCACTTGAGGGCTCTATGTCTCACAGGCTTTCCATGTGAAGATTATTTCTCCCCCTGCCCTAATGCAAGTCCATCTCGTACAAGGCTAAAGTGGCCACACAAGTGTGTGGAGTCAGCTGTCAGTTAAATAAAGGAGTGGACTTGGACTTCGGCTTGCAGATGCATGAAGAGCATTGTCAGGAGGCAGCTCAAAACAGCTTATCTGTTTGATTGGCACCCTAGCTAGGGAACAAGAGAAGAGAAAATGGTGGTTGTTTGTTTGTTTGGAGAGGGAGAGTGGGGAGCTTCCAGAATTTTGGATTTGAGAATTCAGTGAGTATATTTCCTGTCGTCGTCCCGTCGTCGTCCCCCCCCCCCCCCCCCCCCCCCCCCCGCCGCCAAAAGTCTCAGGTAATCAGGATGTATAATTAGCTAATTGGAGTTGGTGAGGCCATGTGGAAAGAGTGTGGCTCCCAAGTCTGAGTCAGGTCTCTGTTGATTCCTGCTCACCTGGGTCTCAGTTGCTCAGGTGTACAGCTCCAGCCTTCTGCCCTTGGCAGAAGCAGGTGGGAAGACCATTCTGTCCTCCAGTGTCCAGCCCAGGCTCCACACAGAGCGTCTTTGAGACATGGCCTCCTCTATCCCACCTGACTCATCTCCCTGCAGAGCAGAAGTAACTGGAAAGCAGGTTTTGGTGGCTCACACTTGTAACCCCAGCACTCTGGGGACCGAGTAGAAAGAACCCTGAGAGTTCAAGGCTAGCTTGTGCTACAGAGAGACCTGTCTGAAAAAGAAAAGAAAAAAGTCATGGTCATGTCTGCTGTTCTTGTAACATGGGTTTGCTGAGAGCTGGCGCTGAGCAAACCGAGGCTCCAGCGCAGGTTTCTGCGGTGAGTCACCTCCACCTCCACCCTAGTGATTCCTCGGTTAGGCTCCTGTGTCTGAAGGAATCGTACTCTGAACCCCTGATCTGCCAGAAAGAACCAGACACTTCACTTTTCCAGACCTGTGGTGCTTTTCAAACCATCTGGTGGGCCCTATCCAGGGCCCTTGCCTTTGAAGACATAGGTCTGCAGCTGCCTGTGCAGATAAGCAAGCAGCAGCCAGGCGGGGGGTGGGGTGGGGTGGGGGGGGGGTGGGGGGGGGGTGTGGGGGGGGGTGGGGGGGGGATGGAGGGGGTGGGAGGGGGTGGGAGAGGCTGTTGAGAAGGTGGCTTGTTTATACCGGGAAGTGAACTGAGAAACATCTATAGAGTACCTACTGTGTGCCTGTTCCCTGTGCTTTGGGGACATTGGAATTCACCAGGCTTGGCAGCTCTTCCTAGAAAGTTTACAGTGCCATGGAAGCAAGACCCACGTGTGTACATAAGTGTGGCAGCAGTGGCGGCGGTCACCAGGAAATTCATGACTAGTCCAAGTGACAGAGGGGATGGAGGAAGGCCTTGGTGTGAGGAGTGTTCTCTATGGGCTGGGGAGACCTGGAAAGTTTCCTAGGAGGGGAGAAGGTGGTGGTGTTTGATGTGGATCTTGAGGGGTAGGCGAAGTGCAGATGGCAAGTGGGAGGAAGCAGAGAGCATCTCTCCCTCTGCGCATGCTGGAAGGAAGGGAGAGAGCTGGTAGGAAGGTGGGAAAAAGCCCAGACTCTGAGTCAGTGACATTCAACATATGTGGAGGGTCTTTTGTGTAAGACGGGGCAGGGTACACAGCCACCCCTAGGCCAGTAAGGCCAGACAATCAGGGTTTGGTTTCCCTCAATTCCATTCTAGGCAGCTCCAGAGTACTGAGGAGCAGGAGGGCAGGAGGCATGCTACCCACATGCTTACCATCTCTCCCCAGGATGGTTTCTCCCCTGACATTTTCATTTTGTTTTGTTTTAGACAAGTTGCATGTGCTCGAGCTGGTCTTGAACTTTGCTGTGTAGCCAAGGATAGCCTTGAACTCTTGATCTTCCTGCCTCTGCCTTGAGTGCTGGGCTTGCAGGCACACCATGTACCTGACTTTATAGAGTTCAGGATCTGCTTCATGCAGGCTAGGCAAGCATTCTACCAACTGAGTGAGCAACTTGCCCAGCT